GAGTGCGTTTTATTATTATTATTATTATTATTATTATTATTATTATTATTATTATTATTATTTTTATTATTATTATTATTATTATTATTATTATTATTATTATTATTATTATTATTATTATTATTATTATTATTATTATTATTATTATTATTATTATTATTATTATTATTATTATAATAATATATTATAATAATAATAATATTATTATTATTATTTTTAAATATTAAAAAAACACTTTGCTGACCGGGAGTCGTTTGGGTATTTTTTTCAATAATTAGCTTCCTCATAACACTTTCTAAATTATTGCATTTAGGAAGGGTTTGGAGACCTTCAGTCCAGGTCGGTAAGGCCGTCGTCGAAGTCGATAAGATCGTCATGGAGATCGATCAAATCGTCTTCAGCGCGGTCTGATCGGACTTCGACAATGTTTATAAAATTTATATATATTTTATAAATTTAATGTTAATGCAATATTTTTTTCATTAAATGAATTTTTTTTAAATTTAATGTTAATGCAAAATTAATGGAAATCGCCCAGGTCTGCTTGATATATATGTAATGTTTAAAAATTACTGGTTTTGTTGACGTTTTGTTAAATCAGGATGCACTTATAAGGCAAAGTAAATTAATAAAGTAGCATCACTTGAACAGCTGACTATTTTTTTTTTAAACTAGATAAATGAAGCAAATTGTCAAAGTTTGTTTTGAAAATTGTTAACATTGTTTACGTCGCCATTTTTAAATTGTGTTTTGCTATTTGTTAAAACTTGTGAAAAGTTTAAAAAGTGAATTAAAAGTGGTTTTAAAGTAGTTTAAAAGTGTAATAAATTGTATAATATATAATAATATAATTAAATCGTTAATATCTTTAGCTTAAAAGTAATATTTTTTATTTATGTTTTGTTCACATTGTTTTTCAAGGAAATTTTATTTTGACACAATCTTAAATTTTCCAAAAACAAAATACATGTGGTTGTTGTAGATGTTGTTGTACAACAAGAGATGTCGCTACTTTATTAATATACTTTGTTATAAGGTGAACTTTTTAATGAAAGTTGTATACAACTGTCAAAATGTACCATTTTGAGTTGCCAGATGCACAAAAAATCATTTACATAGGGATTAATTCAATTTTCAGGATACTAAAATAATATAAATTTATAACTAAATGAGTAATTGTTTATATCATTAAAATTCACGTTATATGTTAATGTATATCTTAAACATAATATTTTTTATAGAAACTGTACTGATCTGTAATATGGCAACTCTACAAACTTATTCAGCCTTTGTCAGATGAAATGCAACCTGGCCTTTTAAGAATTATTATTGTAAAACACTTTAATTAGTGTGTGGGGTGCATCTTAGAAAATCAGCGAAAATATCGAAGCAGCTGAATGATGGATCTAAGATCTAGTAGCCAGACAATGACTGATGCATTAGATGCAGCAGGCATCGAGTTCCCTTCTTCTGCGACGCTGAGCCAACTACGAGGCTTATATGAAGCGCTAATGAAGCAACAAAACAACCACGCTTTAAAAACATGCGAAGAGGATACCGTGGAAGACATGAACCATCGTGCTGTCCAAACAAATACTGATGCCGCTGAAATGACGTATGTTGTCGAAAATCCTGATGCACAACAGCAAACACGTGCTCTAGATCAGTACGTCGTAGAAGTCAACACTGAAGGCCACGTGAATGATGCCGCTGAAACTGAAGACAATGCAACTGCTGTCCCGAAGCCCACTGTAATTGCTGCCGCTGCCATAATGCACGCAGAAAAAAATTATGATTTTCTTCCAGATACTGCGTCTGCTACATGATCCGAAGAAATAAAAAAAACTTCAACTTCGGTTACAAATGTTGCAATTACAGCAACAAATACAGGCCCTAGAAGAGGGCTGATCATGCCAATCTCCTGTACGCAGAATGTACTGGATGGAATTGGACGCTGCTGTTCCTATATTTTGCGGTGACGACAACTAAGACATAAGCCGCTGGTTCCTAGTCTTTGAAGATTAGGGGGGATGTTTTCCGAAAAGGAAAAATGTACAGCCGTACGCCGACGTTTGGAAGGGACGGCAAAACTGTACGTTAAAAACTTAGGCCTGCTACAATTTGATGGCTTAAAAGCTTGCTTAATAAAAATGTTCAGTTTCCCGGCAAGAGGTATACAGGCAAATACAGCAAAGAAATTTAAAACCCTAAAACCATAGTGCCACTTTTAATCGGGCGTGATGTACTTAATAAACTGAATAATCACATATGCAACAAAAAATTTCTTATAATAAAAATGAATTGTTAAAATTGAATTTAAAAAATGAAAATATGGACGAAAAAATACATCGTGTTATTTAAATTATCTAGTGGTCCTGAACTTCCACCTGTAGAGAATTTATTTGATGAACTTTCGTTTGCAACGTGTAATAAGAATGATTTTATTGAACCGATTAACATTAGGAGAATTATTTCACCTGTAGTAAAACATCTAGAGAGTCGTGATAAAATTGCTTCTGAAAAATTAGTGTGGTATAATTGAAAACGTTAAAGATTTACCCCCTTATTCACAAACAAAATTTTTATTTTATAAATTTGTGAATAGGGTTTCCAAATTCCCGACGTTTTTTGATTCCCGGGAATCGGGAAAAAATATTCACATTGAAGTTTTGTAACTTAGAAATGTGTATATATAAAATCAGGGTTGGCAAAAGTTTTGAAGCCGTGAAAAGATAAGGGTAACGGTATTTGGATTATTTCGGTAAGGGTATTTCGGTAAAGGGTATTTTAAATGTAGGAAAAATTATTTAAAAATAATATAAAATAACGGTAATTCGGTAGCGATATTTTAGAGATAACGGTAGTAGAGCTGAGCTTTATTTAAATAAAGTAAATAAAATACTTTATTATTTTCTTTTTAAATACATACATATGCGTATGTCTGCATTGAAGTGTCCCGCGGGCAACTTTTTGAAGGAATACCTGTCCATTTTTGTTGTATAAAATGTGTTACAATAAACATGGTTGCATTTTTACTAGTTTTTATTTCCCAGGATTCCCGACTAAAATACCCGGGAATCGGAAAGCTAAAAATCACTACATTTCCCGGGAATTTTTCTCCCGACGGTACGTGTTTTACTTCCGATGAATTCAATAGATTCGTAACAGAAAGAAATATTATTCATGTGTCCACAGTCGAACGGCCAAGTGAAAAGAATAAATAGAGATTTGAGGGCTATGCTATCGACACTATCTGAGCCAACGGAACATTGTGATTGGACAGCTAGTAGACGAACTGACGGAATACTTACAGGACAGGTACGAGGATAATAATAGGGATCTAAAGGTAATGAGGGAGATGCATCAGAATCCATAAAAAAGCCTCATGAGAATAAGTATTTCCATGTTCATCACAAATCGCTCAAACCTGGAGATTTAGTTGTTTTAATGAATGTTAATACAAACCCAGGAGTCAATAAGAAATTAATATCGAAGTATCGCGGCCCATGCGTCGTTCAGAAGCAATTAGGAAATTATCGTTATGAAATATCTGATGTAGAAAATTGCCAGGTGACACAATTACCCTATAGAGATGTATTAGATTCGACTCGATTGAAAAAATGGTTGGAAGTAAAGGACTCGGTAAAAGACAAATTATCTGAAACTTAAGGCAACACGAGTGAATACGAAGACTATGAGTTTCTAGAAGATGAGTTTTTACAAGACTTACTGCAATCGAGGTCGATTGCCTAGTCAGGTTGGCCGAGAATTTAATGATCTGTAATATGGCAACTCTACAAACTCATTCAGCCTTTGCAAGATGGAATGCAACCTTGCCTTTTTTGCATTTCCGTTTTAAGAATTTTTATTGTAAAACATTCTTATTAGAAAGGAAAAAATAAAAAAGAAATCAGCATCCTTTACAACTGTTTAAATTGTAGTAAAAAAACAAAAATTCCACACAATGAAACATGGGTATTTTTCATATAATTTTGTAGTTAAATAAGAATATAATATGTATTTGTAATACGTTATAAAATAAGTATTTTTATTTTTAGTCTAATATTATACTTCTTTGGCAATTGTAATTGATTGCATACATAATATAATTAAAAAACTCTAATATATTATAAATTAAAACTGTATTCATGATAATAAATTGTGTATTTGTAGCAAATTCACTAATAGATATACACATATTTTAAATTTTTTTGTTGTAATATACATACGTATATTTGTTTGATGTAGATATTTTGTGCATGTGGGATTTTTTTTATTTACGGTATATATTAAAAAGACCACTATAGCAACACATACACTTTTTGACATTAGTATACAACTTTTGTTGTTTTTTATCTTGTGTCTATATTAGACAAATATTTATCACGGCACTTAACAAAACGTCGGCAGAAAAATTGTCAGTTTTTTGTTTATGTTAATGCATAGGGGTAACAAAATGCTGATTTTATCACGACAACTCACAGATAATTTTATTAAAATATTCTATATTTTATAAAAACAATTAAAATTAAATGCAAATTTTGTAAATAAACACTAATTTCACTAAAACTCTTGTAAAAATCAATTTTAATTACACAAAAACAAAATTCTAAACAAATTTTACAATAAAATGACGTTTGTTATCAAGACAAAGTTTCCTAAACAATTCTTTAGATAACACTGTCAAAACGACTTTATAACGCTCATATATGCTGTATGTACCTGCAAATTTTTTATCATGACAACAATTTGACGTTTAGCACAATAAATATTTGTATAGACATGGTTTTATGTACATTTGTTAGTTGTAGACGTTATACTATTTATGAAAATAATTATAGTTCGTATGAACGTGGCCGTAATCACATATATTGGTAGCACTGAATTGCCGGTGTTTTCCAAGAACGACGTGTCAAAAGTCTAGTTTTTACTTATACTATTTTTGTTATTCTATCGGTCAAGTTGAATTTTATTTGTGAATTAACAGTGAAACTAATTATATGAATCGACAAATGTTTAACAGGAAAACTGCTGGTTACAGTAGTTTAATAACGTTTGCTGTATTGTTGATAGCATGGATTGCTGGATTTTCGTCCCGTTTGTTTGCCGTTATTCGTTTTGAGTCAATCATTCATGAATTTGATCCTTGGTTTAATTATCGTGCAACGGCATATATGGTGCAGCATGGATTCTACAAGTTTCTCAATTGGTTCGACGAGAGAGCTTGGTATCCATTGGGTCGCATTGTTGGAGGCACTGTTTATCCAGGCTTAATGATTACATCTGGTGGAATTCATTATTTACTCCATGCATTAAATATTCCTATCCATATAAGAGACATATGCGTGTTCTTAGCACCTGTGTTTAGTGGGCTTACATCTATATCTACATATTTACTTACTAAAGAGTTATGGTCATCGGGAGCTGGACTTTTTGCAGCTGGTTTTATTGCCATAGTTCCTGGATACATTAGTCGATCAGTAGCAGGGTCTTACGACAATGAAGGAATAGCAATATTTGCACTTCAATTTACATATTTTCTATGGGTCCGTGCTGTTAAAACTGGTTCTGTGTTCTGGTCCGCTGCTGCAGCTTTATCTTATTTTTATATGGTATCTGCATGGGGTGGATATGTTTTTATTATTAACTTAATCCCCCTGCATGTATTTGTGCTGCTGTTAATGGGTCGATATTCTTTACGTCTTTTAACTAGCTATAGTACTTTCTTTATATTAGGACTATTACTCTCAATGCAAATACCATTCGTAGGTTTTCAACCTATACGAACCAGTGAACATATGGCAGCTCTTGGAGTTTTTATTCTTTTAATGGCTGTGGGATTTTTGCGCTATATTCAATCAGTACTTTCACGCAATGAGTTTAAAAAAATATTTTTAATTGGAGGTTTAACAGCAGCTGGATTAGTATTTTTAGCAGTTGTAATATTTACAATGATGGGTGTGATTGCACCATGGAGTGGAAGATTTTACTCCTTGTGGGACACAGGTTATGCTAAGATACATATACCGATAATAGCATCTGTATCAGAACATCAGCCAACTACATGGTTTTCATTTTTCTTCGATCTTCACATTTTAATATGTGCCTTCCCAGTCGGTGTTTGGTATTGCGTTAAAAAAATTAACGATGAGCTTGTATTTGTCATATTATATGCTATAAGTGCTGTATATTTTGCCGGTGTAATGGTCCGTTTAATGCTGACATTAACCCCCGTTGTATGTATGCTGGCGGGAGTTGCTTTTTCAAGCCTTATGGACGTCTACTTGCGGGAAGATAACATAACTAAAACGCAGACTGTAACACAATCTCGTCCAGAAGATCCAGACGAATCCACAAATGAGAAAAAAATGTTTTATGATAAGGTAATTATTATGAAAATTTAATTGTAAACTAAGAAAATTAAAAAAAAAATTTTTTTTGAATTGCTTTTGAAATTTTATTGGTATTTTACAACTTTATTTGTGCGAGTGAAGATAAATTCGAGTTTACATAATTAGCAAAGATGCAAATCATATTTTTCAAAAGTGCTCGTTTTGCAGCTAACAGCGCTGTTAATCACTTACTAGAACATTATAATTGAATGCTGGGTGAAGGTTCCACCTATTCAATTATATGGAAATGCTCCAGGGGGTACATAATGGAACTGTGCAGGTGGGATATCTGTAATAATAGTATAACTTCTAAGAGGAAGTTACATATATCCAACTATAAGAATATGATGGACAGGAAAAATGAAACTGAGTTGAGGTTACAAATATCCCATTATATGAAAATGATGGTCCAAGGTGTTCTTGGTGGGACTGTCAAAGTGCAATATCTGAGATAATAGTGCGAATCCCACTGAGTAAAATTAGTTTATTCCTGAATATTCTGGACACAAAAAAATCCACTTTGACAGTCACACAAAAAAAGCGTTAGATCATTCCCATAGATTAGATATTTATAACTTTTGTAACCTCCAATCAGTTTTCGCTAATATATGTAAAATGGTTCAAACAAAAGAAACGTTTAGTCCTTAGAACAAGATCTTAACATAGTGGGATTTACAGTGCAGGCACAAAAATGTTTTTAGTATTGTTTGTGTGTGCAATAAAAGAAAAACAAGAAAGAATTAATTTTTTTCAATAAAAAGTTTATTTATTAAATTTATATTTACTTTAAAGATTCTCGATAGGGTTGTGTACTTAACAAAGTGGTTGCAATGGCGTTCACTTAACAAGTTTTTTTTAAAAAACAAAAACTATGCAACTAGTTGCGAATTACGTTATACCGTTAGCGGTTTTACTAGTTAGAATTTATCTCTACACTTTTTCAAAGATGAAAAAATAAGTAGTTAGATAAATCCTAACGTAGTATTAGGGGAATAGAAAATATGGTTTCAAATAAATTTCTAAAATGAACATTGCCGGCCACCTTGCAACGAAGAAGTCAGTTGCAACAACAAATGAGAAATTAAGGTTAATAAATCTAGGATAAACTTATACATACACCACCATCAGTGTTGATTGAGGGTATATATAAGTTTGTCGTTCCGTGTGTAACGCCAAGAAATATTCATCTAAGACTCAACAAAGTATATATATTCTGGGTCCTTATCAAATTCCGAGTCGATTTAGCTATGTCCGTCTGTCCGTCTGTCTGTGTAAAACACGCTCACATTAAAACTAAGCAAAGGAAATCAACCAAATTCACCCAAAGTATTTATTATTATCCTAAGCAGTTTGGTATTGAAAATCAGCAAAATCGGTTCACAACGTAAAAAGTTATGAGTAAAAATTTCAGACTACCTCGAAAAAAATTACGTTTTTTTCAACATTTTTTTTGAAGTTTTCTCAGAAACTACCAAAGATATTTCGATGAATTTTGTCACACATTAATTTTTTATGCCTGTGATCAATTACGTTCAAGATCTTTACAATCGATCGAATATTTCCCATAGCCCCCATACAAAGGTATATATTCCCGGGAATTAGTTTATCGTTAATAACTCCCTCAAATATACCGGTATCAACACAAAATTTTGTACATGCAAATATAATACGAACAGAAATCATACAGTCAACGTAGATCTCAGTCGGTCCACAATTGGTCATAGCTCCCATATAAGGTCCACTTCCGAAATCACCTATCTTCATTGATGAATATAGCTATTGTGATAAAATTCGAGTTAAATATGTTTTGTGTACATACAAATCAATCTACCAAATTTTTTACGGATCGGTCCATTATTGCTCATAGCTCGCATATAAGGCCCACTTCCGAAAATCATTTAAAAGCTCATATTTCATTGTCAAATAAAGCTATCTTGAAAAATTCGACACAAATATGTTTAGTCCAAATATGAATCACTCTACGAAATTTTTTCCGGATAGGTCCATAATTGGTCATAGCTCCCATATAAAGTTTACTTCCGAAAATCACTTAAACTAATATATTTCATTTAATTATAAAGCTATTGGGATAAAATTCGACACAAATATGTTTTGTCTAAATATGAATAATTTTACATTTTTTTACGGATCGCTCCATTATTGGTCATAGTTCCCATATAAGGCCCACTTCCGAAAATCACTTAAATGCATATATTTCATTGAATAATAAAGCTATTGGGATACAATTCGACACAAGTATGTGTTGTATACATACAAATCATTCTACAAATTTTTTTACGGATCGGTCCATTATTCGTCATAGCTCCCATATAAGGCCCACTTCCGAAAATCACTTAAAAACTAAAGCTATCGTGATAAAATTCAACAAAAATATGTTTTGTGTACATTCAAATCATTCCACAAAATTTTTTACGGATCGGTCCAATATTGGTCATAACTCCCATATAAAGCCCACTTCCGAAAATCACTTAAAAGCACATTGTCAAATAAAGCTATCTTGATAAAATTCGACACAAATATGTTTTGTCTTTATATGAGTCACTCTACGAATTTTTTTCCGGATAGGCTCATAATTGGCCATAACTCCCATATAAAGTCCACTTCCGAAAATCACTTAAACCCATATATTTCATTAAATTCTAAAAATAAAAGGATAAAATTCGACTTGAATATATTTTGTGTGCATATAAATCATTCTACCACTTTTTTCCCGGATTGGTCCATTATTGGTCATAGCTCCCATACAAGTCCCACTTCCGAAAATCACTTAAACGCACATATTTAATTGTTAAATAAAGTTATCTAGATAAAATTCGGCACAAATAAGTTTTATCTTTATATGAATCACTCTTCCAAAATTTTCCAGATTGGTCCATATATGGTAATAGCTGCTATATAAGGTCCACTTCAAAAAAATCACTTAAGCGCACCTATTTCATTATCAAATTAAGATATCTTGATAAAATTCGACAAAAATATGTTTTGTGTAAGGTCATAGCTCGTATACATATAAAGCACTTCCGAAAATCACCTAAACGTACATATTTCATTAATTAGTAAATCTATTATAGTAAAATTCGAATTGATTTTTTTTTGGCAAATAAATCATTATATGAAATTTTTTCCTTATCGGTCGATAATTGGTCACAATTCCCATATACGGTTAGGTTAGGTTTTTCAGACTGCTTACTAACACGAGTAAGTCTATACTTGGGTCCTATTCGGTCCCTTTGTAACGTCTGTAAAGAGAAAAGATAAGGGAAAACATTTGGAAGGGGAAGAGCAGTAATAAAGAAAGTAGTGAAGAAACAGATATAGAAAGTAGAAAGATGAGTATAGAATAGCGAAGAAGTTAAGACTCTATTACCAGAAAAATCATAGTGTGTATTTAGTTACACACCCACTTCGACAATTTCAAGAATGCTAGTATACACTGAGGTTGAATAGCTGACAGATCAGATAGATCAGAAAAGTGAGACGAACCCAGCGCCTGATGACGGAGCGATTCCAGGGCCGGGCAGTTACACAGAAAATGAGTAATAGTTTCCTCTTCTTCTTCATTTTGACAGCTCCTACAAAAGTCATTATATGGAATACCAATACGTCTAGCATGGTTTCCAAACTTTGAATGACCTGTAAGAACTGATAACAAAGCGCTCAGATATATTCTGTTTAGCCCTAAAATGTAGGATGTTTTATGAGAATCCATACGAGGCCACAGTAACCTAGCGATCGAGCAAGTGTGCTCCTGAGACCATCGCTCCTGAGCTGAATTGAAGCAGTAATCAAGTATTTGCTTCTTGATGACCGCTAAGGGGACACCACAGATCTGGTCAATATATCCAGTATGGTCATCCTCGTGCCGGCTTTTGCCAGAATGTCAGCAGTATTATTGCCAATTGTTTCCCCGTGTCCTTTGACCCAAATAAGGGTAATTCTTGAATATCTCGCCATCTCGTTTAGAGACGCCCGGCATTCTTGGACAAGTTTTGATGTAGAATACACACCTATCAGGGATTTGATAGCGGCTTGACTGTCAGTATAAATTCTGATATCTCTGTTGGATATCCGATAGTACCTAAGCCAATTAGAAGCCCTTTTTATAGCTGAGATTTCAGCCTGCAAAATAGTACATTCGTCGTTGAGTCGGAAAGAGATTTTCGTCCCGAATTCTTCAATGAATATGCCCCCGCCGACACCTTTAGTTGTTTTTGAGCCATCTGTATATACATTAAAGCTTCCAACACTTTCAGGTGCTAATTCATTATAATCGCAGATTAAACTATACCGGAAGTTCCTCGAAATGCACGGTTCCGGAATATGGTAGTCAATAGCTTGATGTAGGTTTGGTACAAGATCTACAATCTTTGCATGACCTCTGGAACCGTAGTTCCATCTATTCGTAATACTTAGTCTGGCTGCAGTATTAATTGCCAGTTGTTTAGCAAGAAGATCCACAGGCAGCCAGTTCAGCATGGCAAACAACGCTTTACTGGGCGTAGTCCTAAGTACACCTGTTATGAGAAGAGCAGATTGTCTCATAACTTTAGTAAGAATGTTTCTGTTAGATATTTTGTCAAGTGCATGCCACCAGACAATTACACCATACATCATTATCGGTTTAATCACCGCCTCATATAGCCAATTCACATTTCCTGGGTTGATACCCCAATGCAGGCCAATAGCCTTTCTACAAACGTATAACGCCGTAAAGGCTTTGGAAGATCTGGAGATGATATTCAAGCTCCAAGACAATTTTCTGTCGAGAATAACACCTAAGTATTTTGCGCTATCCGACAGTGTGAGAACCTCACCGTTGAGGCGTGGAAGGGAGAATTGAGGAATTTTGTATTTATTTGTGAACAATACTAGTTCCGTTTTTCCTGGGTTTACGCTGAGACCGCATTTAACACTCCATGAGCTTATTATCTTCAGCGCTTCTTCCAATCTCTGAGACAGAGTCTCAAGAT